CCCCAAAACCCCAAAACCCCAAAACCCCCATTTGGAATTATCTACATTAAAATATCAAAAGTATTAATCAAAATAATGAATAATGATCAAATTATACAGATTAAAGGATAGTTGCTATGTTTAAATCACCCTATAATATAGAAATTAATGCTTCATTTATCCCTGAGAATACAGCTCATTAAATATTATATAGTAAATCTAGTTTCCTAATATCTTCGCCATAATTGAAAGGTGGTATTAAATCTTAGACCTATAATATGATGACTTTAAAAGGAAATATTTTACTCTTTTATAAGGTCCTTGAGCACTAATCTAGTTTGAACCACTATCACTGTCTTTATCGTCATCTTTCTTCAAACCCTTAAGATTGTTTCTAATATTTTGCTTCAGCATTTCAAAAGGTGTTAGTTCTCTTTATATACCCAGCTGTTATGAATGAGCCTAACTCTGATATTTAACCTCATTCTTTTTCATATACATAGTTATGTTGCGGAGAGTATAGTCAAGCCAGGAAGAGGATGGTTACTTCAGGTATATTCTTAAAAATTTGATGCCTCTTCTATCAAATTTTGTATTAAACTATAGATCATGATTAGTTGAACTGTATTTTTATAATAGTATGAAGATATATGAAAAATCAGATCTTTATCAATATGCTTACAAGCTCTGTGCCAATAATATGCCAGTTTTAAGCATCTGTTTCAAAATGAGAATTTCGCATCAGTTGATAGTCTTTCAATATTGTAGTCCAATTACCTTCATTCTTTTTCTGCTCCTTAACATCACCAACTCCTCCCTTGAATTATTTGACAGTCACTGAGTAAGTGTAAAAGTTTTAGAGAACTATATACTGGAAAAATGGAATCTCCTATTCTTTATTGAATTGAATCTCGATGTATGATTTGCAAGGTTTTTACGATGGCTGTTGATTTAATACTGCAATCAGATTAGTCTTGTTTGAGATCATGCAATCTATTGGGATAATATTGAACTTAGTATCCTCTTCATTTTAAGGTTTATTCTGTTAAGAGTAACTCATCAGCCCAGATAAAATAGACTGAGGGGTTTTGTCTACCATGTTTAAATAATTTAATTTTGCAATTTAAAAGGCTTTTATGAAATTTCAGAGTTATTCAAATCAGTTATTTTTGTATTCATGGGGTTTTGGGGTTTTGGGGTTTTGGGGTTTTGGGG